TCCACCCCCAGCCTCAGCCAGTTCTGAAACATGAAAGCAGGCGAGTGTCTGGTGAACTCAGGGAGGCCTCCAGGCACAAGCTGCAACCTCCCTGTGTGGGTCCACCTTGCAGAACATCACCTTGAACTGCTGCACCCCCTCCTAGTCCCTCTATAAACTTTTAAAAAATGATCTTATAGATATTCTTTCATAAAAAAGCCCAAAAGAGTCTGCCCTCTATTTTTACCTCTAAAATAGTATTCCCTCATGTACATACCAGAATTAGTATGGAGTTTGAAGAAGGGATCATCTCCAAGTGTTTCATTTTTTTTTAAACTTTATGGAACTATCTATATCTAATTATTCTTTTACCTATAAAAATCAGTATTTTATGTGTTTCAAAATAGTACACATAGGGACCAGCAGTTAGTGTAATGGCTGTCGCTGGACTCCCACGTAGTTGATTGCAGTACGAGTCCCAGACCAGGAGGCCTAAAACTAATGCCGGGTGCGTGTGTGTGCATGCCCAAGATCCTGAGAGGAGAGTGGAGGAGAAGGGATTGCGGCGTGGCCATCCCCCCTGGGGGTGATTTCTCACTTTCTGTCTCTCTGTCTCTCTCTGTCTGGTGAGTGCACGCACCCTATGGCAAAAACCTCTCAAAAAAATGTATACATAGAAAACTAAGCAAAGATGTAATAAAGTTTCATTTCTGGGGTAACTTTTATGGGTGTGACCATATTTATTATGTTCTAAGACTCCCATGAAGTCTACCGCAGTTTGAGTCCCACTTCTGGTGGCTTAAACTCGTGCTCAGAGCAAGTACAAGCGTGCCCAAGATCCTGAGAGCAAAATGGAGGAGAAGGGATTGTGGCATGGCCAACTCCCCTGAGGGGGGGTGATTCTGGCTTTCTGTCTCCCTGTCTCTCTCTGTCTTTCTGGCAAGCACGTGCACCCTATAGCAAAAACCTCTCAAAAAAATTTGATACAATATCTCCATTTCATTACTAAATTAGTAAGGAGAGAGACAAAAGACTCCTCTCAACTCATTGGAAGCCAAGACAGAGTCTGAGTTTTTCTGGACAGTTCAGGCTGCCTTGCTATATTATACCATTCAAAGTTGTTTTTTTTTTGTTGTTTTTTTTTCAATCTTGTTTTTTCCATTCTGTAGACATTTTTGTGTATAAGTTTGTTTATTTCTTCCATGAGGAAGAGAAACCTTGAGAGAGAGACTTAGAGCTATAACACCCATGACAGGATCTTCACACCTTGATCCACCCCCAGCCTCAGCCAGTTCTGAAACATGAAAGCAGGCGAGTGTCTGGTGAACTCAGGGAGGCCTCCAGGCACAAGCTGCAACCTCCCTGTGTGGGTCCACCTTGCAGAACATCACCTTGAACTGCTGCACCCCCTCCTAGTCCCTCTATAAACTTTTAAAAAATGATCTTATAGATATTCTTTCATAAAAAAGCCCAAAAGAGTCTGCCCTCTATTTTTACCTCTAAAATAGTATTCCCTCATGTACATACCAGAATTAGTATGGAGTTTGAAGGAGGGATCATCTCCAAGTGTTTCATTTTTTTTTAAACTTTATGGAACTATCTATATCTAATTATTCTTTTACCTATAAAAATCAGTATTTTATGTGTTTCAAAATAGTACACATAGGGACCAGCAGTTAGTGTAATGGCTGTCGCTGGACTTCCACGCAGTTGATT